TTGGCTGCCTCTTTCGCAGCACGGGAGGCCTCCCCCGGCTGGCCAGCTGCTCTCCTCCTTCTCTGCCTGTTTGTTCTGTGTGGCCGAGGAGGAGGAGACCGGCCGGCTGGTTGGGGGAGGCTTTCTGCGCCGAGGGAGGCGGCTGCTGGTCTCCAGCTTTGCTCCGCTTCTCCAATGGTCCGGTGCCGCCCTGTTCTATGTGCCGGGCCCGGCAAGTCCGAGCAGCCAGCACATAGAACAGGGCGGTGCCAGAGATCATTAGCCGCCTCTTTCGCAGCACAAGAACAGGGTGGTGCCGGACCATTGGAGAAGCAGAGCAAAGCCGGAGATTAGTAGCTGCCTTTCGGCGAAGAAAGCTTCCCCCAACCAGCTGGCTGATCGTCTCCTCCTCGGCCATACAGAACAAGCAGGCAGAGAAGGAGGAGAGCAGCTGGCCAGTTGGGGGAGGCTTCTTGTGCTGCGAAAGAGGCGGCTAATGATCCCCGGCTCCGCTCGGCTTCTCCAACATCCGCGCCGCCCTGTTCTATGTGCCGGGCCCGGCAAGTCCGAGCAGCCAGCGCGTGGAGCAGGGCGGCGCCGGAGATCGTTGGCTGCCTCTTTCGCAGCACGGGAGGCCTCCCCCGGCTGGCCAGCTGCTCTCCTCCTTCTCTGCCTGTTTGTTCTGTGTGGCCGAGGAGGAGGAGACTGGCCGGCTGGTTGGGGGAGGCTTTCTGCACCAAGGGAGGTGGCTGCTGGTCTCCGGCTTTGCTCCGCTTCTCCGATGGTCTGGCGCTGCCCTGTTCTTTACTTGGGCAGCCGGGCGCCCGCAGCGGCGCCCATGGCGGCAACAGGCAGTTCCGCCCAGGCTCTGCTCAGGTGTCCGGCTGGGGCTGTCGGGAGTTGCTGCCACCGGTGCGGCTCCGGTCCCGCGTTGCCTTGGGAAGGGTGGGGCAAAACCAGGAGCCGCTGAGCCTGAGCCTCCGGTGCCGCTGCTGCCGTTGCAAAGCGCTGCCGTGGCTCTTCCTTTTTGCCTTTCCCTTCCCGAGGCGACGTGGGACTGGGGCCGCGCCGGCGGTAGCGACTCCTGACTCAGGGGGCCTCCGAGGGGAGGGGAAAAGAGTGACTCCTGCCTCCCGCTGTCATCATCATCTTCTTCTTTTGGGTTAGTGAATCAATTAAACCTTTCATGATAGTGAGATCGTTTCCCAAATTAATTATTTTTATTTTTGAAATTTACCAGTAGCTGCTGCATTTCCCACCCTCGGCTTATACTCGAGTCAATAAGTTTTCCCAGTTTTCTGTGGTAAAATTAGGTGCCTCGGCTTATATTCGGGTCGACTTATACTCGAGTATATACGGGTATCTTAAATCTCTTCCTCTTTCTCTGATTCAGCTCTGAACTGTGTTGTCTTAACCTGTCCTTGGAATGCGCTGTCTCCTTTCTGGGACCTTCCACTTCCATCATGCCACCTCTCCCTTCGAAGACACAATCCACATTTCATCACATTTTTTATATTTAAATCCTACATCCATGCTTAATTGAAAATAAATTCTGGTGAGTTCAACACAATTTCAGACCTTGTTTGTGCAGAGATCCAATTTAAGAGTAGTATTCAGCTTCTGAATCAAAATAAGTAAGATTACACTACTGTACTATAAGCATTGGTTTGACAGTACACATTTAAATATAGGATTCCCAATAGTTTGGCCACTGATCTTTAATAAAGTACACCTGTCATAATCTGCTAGTTTATAGTAATGCTTATTGTCATACTGAAAGAATAAAACATAAGTCTATCAGTCCTTTTAGATGCTTTTGAGCTTTAGAAGATACATGGCCATTGGAAGTCAGTCATCCAGTCCCCATCAATTCAGGGAAATATATTTCCATGCATGTAGAAAGAATTTCTACAAATGTTCCCTATCTTACATGCCTTTTGCTACCAGTGATTTGGGTTTTTTTTTGTTATCAGTGATTTGCTGATATAATCTAAACTTTAACTTCCCATCCTTGTAATCATACATCGAAATAGGTGAGAAGAACATGTGGAGTGCTTGTCCCAAATCATTTTGGCTAACAAATAGTTATAGTATTTTAGAGAGCTTATTTAAAAAAAAAAAAAAGAATTTCTGCTGTTTTTCCAGACTGCATATAGCATGAGTAAATATAATGGTCTGGACCTTCTGTGATCATTAACTTTTTATCTTGCTGACATTCAAAAGGTCATGTGTAGCTTGTAACCCTTTTTTTCTCATCCTCCAGAGAAATAAAAATTCTCTAGAATTGAAATCCCTATGATGCAAACAGAAGCTCACTTAAAGGCTTGGATTCTAAGTTGTTCCTTTGTCCATATATAGTAATTTCTGCAACCTCCCCATCAATCTGTAGTCTCAAACTGGGATCTCAAGTGTCTCCTGGTCTCTAGAAGCAGGTTTTCTGAAGTCACACAGAACTGCAAAACAAAAGCAGTAAACTTGTACTTAGGAAAGTATGCTTCCCATTTGCCAACTCTTCATCTGTAAATTTGTTTAAGCCAGGGATTCCTTAATTCTCTTGCTAATTGTCTGTTGTTGCATTGGCTATGTCAGTGGCCCCCAACCTTTTTTGTGCCATGGCCCGGTACCGGCATCACAAAATGATCCGTGGCCCGGTACCGGCATCAGCACGCATGACAAGGCAAGGCGAACCGAGCGACCGGCCAGCCGGCCGTCCCCTGCTTCTCCCCGCCACCTTCAACTCCTCCTTTGTACCTTTTTTGTGCTTTTTTGTGCTTTCTTAATCTCCTCCGCCATCGGGACGGCTCTTCGTTCGAAGCCGCCCCCCCCTTCGATGAAACTAAGGCGCGAGGATTCCTTCAGGACCCAAACGCCACTTTCCAACCGGAAAAGCTCACCTGGAAGCACTTTCTCGTCAAAACAAGATGGCGGCGCCCAGCAAACCAGCGGCCCGGTAGAAAATGATCCACAGACCGGTACTGGTCCGGGGCCTGGTGGTTGGGGACCCCTGGGCTATGTGACTACCTAATTTTCTAACAGAGGAAGAATGAACAAGTATTCTGAAATGGCAAACTGCCATCCTTTTTCCCTTCTCTCTGAGAAGTCTACAAGATATTGCTTGATTATTTAGTACAGGGGTGTCAAACTCAAGGCCCGGGGGCCAGATCTGTAAACAGCAATGGACCAGCCCACGGTGCCTCTGCCTGTGAAAATGGAGCTCAGGAGGGCCATGGGCAAGTTCTGCTTTCACTGGCAGAGGGTTGCAGGAAGCTGTTGCAGCTGAAAATGGAGCTTGTGAGGGTTGTGGGCAGCCCTTCCAAGCTCCGTTTTTGCTGGCAGAAGGCTGCAGGAAGCCATCACAGCCAAAAACTGAATTCAGGCACCCACGACACAATGATGTCAAGCTGGCCATGCCCACCCAGGCCCCCCAAGGTCAAACACAACCCTGATGTGGCCTTCAATGAAATTGAGTTTGACATCCCTGATTTAGCACATTGTTAATTATGAATTATCATTTGTTTTTAACCTAAGAACTGCAAACATGCAGAATCAATTAATACATATGAGTTTATTATAGCATAGATATGTTTCAAGAATGTTTCAAGCATGTTAAAAATGAGGACATTTTGCTACTGGTATTTGCCTGAATCTATACATACAAGATGATAACTAATTTAGAACATAAGGGTAAGGAATACATTATTTTTGTACGCAATGTTTGCAAATAACTATATCACAACCACTTAGGTTAAGACTACTTAATTTGTGGCTCAATATCCTTTCTTCTAAGCAGAAAAGAATAAAACATTTACCTATTCCAGCAATAAATTGACTCTATGCATAGTTTTGTGACTTGTGTAGCTAATATGCCAGTTATTAATGAATACCTTTCTTGGATACTGTGAAACACCTCCCAGCACTGAGTTTTCAACCTACATGGATCACATTTTTAAAATGTGGTTAAGCAATTCAAGTAATATATGTTCTTCTTTGTGAACTTATTTTAACTTTACACAACTTAAAGAAAAGAACTACATCAGCCAACAGATGGCAGTGTTTCACTTTCATAGCAATCCCAAATTTTCATTGTAAAAGGAACACATATGCCTTTAACATACATTTATATAGATATATCCATTAGGAAGCATATGGTCAATGAATGCACAGCCTATGGATCTGTATATTATGAAATATTTGTGCTGTAGAAAAATGGTTAGAACTACATTCTTGAAAGACTAGAACCCCAATAGTTATAATCCTAGTGATATTTATTTTGTTTCAGACACTGTAGACAGATAATTCAAGTCCATTTTCTACCGTATATAGGGAATAATAACTTGTAAGTGGATCATAAGCTTCCTTAACAGACAGGAAGCAGCAGGTGAAGCTTGGTGGAATCACATCCGATACCTGTACAATCAGCACAGGGGTCCCCCAAAGCTGTGTGCTATCTCCACTTCTCTTCTTCCTATATACCCATGACTGCTTCTCAAACGATCCATCTGTTAAAATACTGAAGTTTGCTGATGACACAACAGTGATTGGTCTCATTCGAGACAACAATGAATCTGCATACAGACAGGAGGTTATACAACTTGCCTCGTTGTGTAACCGGAACAATCTGGAACTGAACACACTCAAAACTGTAGAAATGGTGGTAGACTTTAGAAGAAACCCTCCCATACTACCACCTCTTACAATACTAGACAACACAGCATCAACAGTAGATACCTTCAAATTTCTAGGTTCTACATTCTAGGTTTCTAGGTTCTACATTCTAGGTTCACATGACCTAAATTGGACACCTAATGTCAAAAACATCATCAAAAAAGCACAACAAAGAATGTTCTTTCTGCACCAACTCAGAAACCTCAAACTGCCCAAGGAGCTGCTGATACAGTTCTGCAGAGGAATGATTGAGTCTGTCATCTGCACCTCTATAACTGTCTGGTTTGGTTCTGCAACCCAACAGGACAGACACAGACTTCAGAGGATAATTAGGACTGCAGAAAAAACAATTACTACTGGTACCAACCTGCCTTCAATTGAGGATCTGTATACCACAAGAGTCAAAAAGAGGGCTGTGAAAATATTTACAGACCCCTCACATCCCGGACATAAACTGTTTCAACTCCTTCTCTCAAAACGACGCTATAGAGCACTGCACACCAGAACAACTAGAAACAAGAACAGTTTTCCCCCGAAAGCCATCACTCTGCTAAACAAATAATTCCCTCAACACTGTTCACCTATTTACAAAGTGTACACTACTATTACTGTTAATCTTCTCATCACTCCTTATCACCCATCCCCTCCCACTTGTGATTGTAGGACTGTAACTTTGTTGCTTGTATCCTTACGATTTATATTGACTGTTTCCTAGTATGATTTGATTGTTGATTGTACCCTATGACTATCATTAAGTGTTGTACGTTATGATTCTTGATTCTTAACAAATGTACCTTTTCTTTATGTACCGTATTTGCCGGCGTATAAGACGACTTTTTTGCCCTGAAAAAGATGCCTCCAATTGGGGGGGTCGTCTTATACGCCGGGTCGTCTTATACGCCGGCAAATAGTAATTGGGAAGCACTGCAGCTGCCCGCGGCTGAGGCACTTTTGCGACTTTTTTGCCCTGATTCGTGGAAACGAATCCCGTGAAGCCGAAAGGAGCAGCCAGCCTTCTCCCAGCTCCCAAGGAAACGAGGCTCGCACCGCCCGAGCTCCGCTGAGGTATCCAGCTGGGGCTGTCAGGAGTTGTTACCGCTGGCGCGGCTCCGCGTGGCTCCAGTCCCGCGTTGCCTCGGGAAGGGAAAGGCAAAACCAGGAGCCGCTGCTGCCATTGCAAAGCGCCGCCGCGGCTCTTCCTTTTTGCCTTTCCCTTCCCGAGGCAACACGGGACTGGAGCCGCGCGGAGCCGCGCCAGCGGTAACAACTCCTGACAGCCCCAGCCGGATACCTCAGCGGAGCCCGGGCGGTGCGAGCCTCGTTTCCTTGGGAGCTGGGAGAAGGCTGGCTGCTCCTTTCGGCTTCACGGGATTCGTTTCCACGGTAGACAAAAGTGCCTCAAAAAAAAAAAAAGTGCAAAAGTGGAAGGCGTGCGGAAGAGGGGGCGAGTATATAACAAACTATATTTTGAGTGGAAATGTTGGGGGGTCGTCTTATACGCCGGGTCGTCTTATACGCCGGCATATACGGTATACGGAGAGTATTTACACCAAGACAAATTCCTTGTGTGTCCAATCACACTTGGCCAATAAAGTATTCTACATTCTAATAATATTCCTTTTATTACTATCAGTGGACACTGGTAGCTTGTTCCTTTTTCAGTCTCTTTTTAAATGTTGCCAGTATAGCAATATACTGTATTCTACACTATAGAAATTGAATGGATGAATGAATATTTGGAGTTATGAACAGAACCCAGAAGGCCTAATATAAATTTATGTTTAACTAACAATATTTTCTATTAAATCAGACTCATAAGGTTACTGTAAAAAAAAAAAAAAAAACAGAGGTAGAGGGTCTCTGAATCTTACCTAAAGCTTTCTAAAGCTTTAAGTTAACTGAAAATGTAATACAAAAAATAAACAAAAGCAGAAGTTTAAATTAATTATACATGACTTAAATATAAAAATGGGATTTTATTCTAAACGATATCCATACTGTGGCTAAATTGACTTTACTGTGGCTAAAGGCCCAGGTTATCTGAGGAGGTGTCTCATTCCAGTAGGATTGGTCTGCTTCACTCACTCCAGCAGGGAGGGGCTTGCTACAGACCCGTTTGTCAAGGAATTTCTGCTGTCCCCCCCCCCCCCCTTTGGAACATTCTACCGCCAGAGGAGAGATTCCCTCTCCTTTTTAGACACTCAGACAGCCGTTAAAACCAAGCTCTGGAAGTGGTTAATGGGTTAAGAGTGAGGATCCACCCCTGTACTATTAATCTTCTTGATTTTTAGTCTTTATTCAATTCTTACTAATCTTAATTGTAATTTTAATCCCTTTGTCATTTTGTAAACTGTCCGGAGCTGCTTCAACAGTGAGAAGGGCAGCATATAAATTTAACAAATAATTAAAATTCAGAATAAAGGTAACAGTGATACAATAGAATATTAGTCAATTGTGCATATCTCTCTTCCAAATTACATATATCTGCAGGGATTTTAAATAAATTTAAGACCCTTATTTAATGGTATACAAAGCACGAATACTATATGCAAATGAATCCATCAATTTCTTAGAGTTGCTCAGAATAACAATATCCATATGCAACGATCACTGAAAAATAATATTTTTCAAAATCATATTAACTTCTCAGTCCCAGACAATCATACAGACAAATTGTCAATTCCATGTTCCCTTCAGAATTGGTTGTGTTGAAAGCCTAACCAAATTCAAGTTGGAATGGCTCCCTTATATATGTAATATATCACACAGGAAGAAACATTAAAGACACTTAGAATATAGTTTTTGAAGAAAAAAAAGAAACCATTCAAAAATAAATTAAACAATCTAAATAGAAAGGAGCAATAATCATAGAAGTTTAAAGTATACTATTAAAAAAAAACCTTAAGTAGCAGTCGGGGTAATTGGAAAAAAATAA